CAGAACAGAACGAGTTGGAAGGGACCTTGGAGATCTTCTAGTCCAACCCATTGCTCAAGCAGGAGACCCTATACCATTTGAGAGAAAATGGATGCCCAATCTCTTCTTTAAAACCTCCAGCGGTGGAGCACCCACAACGTCTGGAGGCAAGCCATTAATTGTTCTGACTGTCAGGAAATTTCTCCTTAGTTCTAGGTTGCTTCTCTCCTTGATGAGTTTCTATCTGTTGTTTCTTGTTCTGCCTTCAGGGGCTTTGGAGAACAGGTTGATCCTCTCCTCTTTGTGGCAGACAGTTCCTTGAAGGAATTATAAGTTATAACTCAACGGGTAAATATGTCAGCATGGACCCATGGTGGAAGGAAACCATGTGTGAGTACAATTCTCACAGAATATAATAGCAATAGCACTTAGACTTATATACCGCTTCACACTGCTTTACAGCCCTCTTTAAGTAGTTTGCAGAGTCAGCATTTTGCACCCAACAAACTGGGTCCTCATTTTACCGACCTTGGAAGGATGAAAGGCTGAGACAACCTTGAGCCAATAAGGACTGAACTCCAGGCTGTGGGAAGAGTTTGCCTGTAATACAGCATTCTAATCACTGCATCACCATGGCAATGGAATAGAATAGACCAGAATAGAATAGAATAGAATGATTGTATAATATAATAGAACAGAACAGAACAGAACAGAATAGAATAGAATAGAATAGAATAGAATAGAATAGAATAGAGATAGCAGTTAGACCAGCGGTTCTCAACCTATGGGTCGCGACCCCATTTGAGGTCGATCGACCATTTCACGGGGGTCGCCAAGCAAGGCTGTCCACCATTTTTTTCCCCTTTTCCGGCGGGTGCCTTACCTCCCTTGGGCTGGGCCAGCCGGTGGTCGGCCTGCTCCGTCTCTGCCACTTGCCAGCTACGCCTCGGCCGGCACAGGGGGTGGCACCACACATGCACGGCGCTCCCAGGCAAGGAAAGTCCTTGACGTACGACCGGTTGGGTAGTCCTCGACTTACGACCGGTTTAGTCCTCGACTTATGACCAGTTGGGGGTCATGGCATTAAAAAGGTTGAGAACCACTGAGTTAGACTTATATACCACTTCACAGTGCTTCACAGCCCTCTTTAAGTGGTTTACAGCCTGTTGCCCCCAACAATCTGGGTCCTCATTTTACCGACTTCGGAAGGATGGAAGGCTGAGTCAACCTTGAGCCGGTCAAGATCGAACTCCTGGAGTGAGCTGTGAGTTAGCCTGCAGTACTGCATTCCAACCACTGCGCCACCACGCATGATAATGCTTATTATTATATACAGATAGCCCTCAAAATAGGACCATTCATTTAGCAAGAGTTCCAAGTTACAATGGTGCTGAACCAAGTGACTCCTGACTGGTCCTTACACTGATGACTGTCACAGGATCCTCATCGTCACATGTTTCCAATTCAGGAAGGTGGCAACCATCATGTATTTACTATGATTTAGTGTCTCAGGGTTATATAATCATCATTTGGATTTCCCCCTGGGTAGAGGGCCTTCAAGAGGGTGCAGATCAGGGTTCCTTGATGCTCTCAAAGCTTGGCTGTTTTCTTGCAGACATTTCATGACCCAACTAGGGAACATCACCAATATTAGAAGGGAGTATGGTTTGTGGAGAAGAGGAGGAGGAGGAGGAGATTGTGGGGTCATTGGTGCTCTCTGAGCTTGGCTGTTTTCTTGCAGACATTCCCTTACCCAAACTAGGTAACATCATCCCTGCTAGTAATACTGTTGATGTTACCTAGTTTGGTAATGAAATGTCTGCAGGAAAACAACCAAGCTCAGAGAGCACTAAGGAGCCCTCATTTCAAGCTACAAATATTCTTCTTTATGGGTACAGATAAGTCATGTGAAAATTTGTGTGCAGTTGGACACCTCAAGGATGGTGGGACAACAGCTGACCCCACAAAACAAGATGGCAATGGATCATTATGGAATCCACAGACTTGTCCCAGTCTGCCAATTCATTGGTTGCCAACTCCTGGCACACGTTTCATCTTGTTCAGCCTTGACATTTTGAGCGTCATGCTCTTCTCTCAAATCCAGCTGCTCCGTCAATGCTCATTTAGCATCTCTGCCTCGATCTGCCTAATAGCTGTGCTAGCCACATTTAGCCTCTCTCACCCTGACAATCTGATGATTTAATATCCCAGCTAATTATCCGTTGTCTTGCAGTCAACTTGCCAGCCTCTGATGGGTAATTCAATTGTCCATTTCAACAAACCTCAACCTTTTCAAAGGATGCCCTCTCAGAACAAGGGGCTGGAAGGAGAAGACTTCTTCAACTGGAAGCAACTGTAGAAACACCTGTTAGATTTCTAATGGGCCAGAAGTCCCACCTTTTTATTTTGTGAGTTTAGCCTACAAGGGTTCCCTAAAATCTACTCCACCTGCTTGTTTATACTCAAGTTAGATTAGATCCTGCAACATTATCCTGGGACACTTGTATTTGCCTTTTTTTTCACTGATTGAATGTCTCTTTTCCTTAAACTGGGGTTGGGGTAGGGTTTGGGATTAGGACAGGGTTAGGGTCAACATTGGGGTGGTCCCCCAATAACATTTTCAATATTTTGCAAACAGAATATTGTCTGGGTACATATGTATGGTTAACAATAATTACCGTAATATAGTAATAGATAACAGTAGTGGGTATAATTGGTTATCATAGACAGTATTAATTAATCAATCCATAACATTCTTCTTACTGGTATGTATTCAAAATAACATGTCACATTCCTTTCTCCCTAATTCATTTTCCTAGCCATTGATAGAAATTATCCCATGTTTTAAAGTAAACTGAATCTTCTTTCTCTTTAATCGCTAAAGTCAATCAATCCATTTCTGCACATTCTAAAATTTTCTTGATTAATACTTCTTCAGTTGGTACATTTTCATTTTTCCAATATTGGGCAAATACAATTCTCGCTGCTGTTAATACACGTAATATTAAATATTCGCTCCCCTTCTCATAATTAGCTCCCAATACTCCTAACAAAAACAGTTCTGGTTTAAAATCCATCTGTTTTTTTAGTCATCTTTTCCAACCATGCATGTACCTTAACCCAAAACTTTTTTTTGTTGGAGACACATCTTGGAGAAACCTGCAAAGGATTATTCTTTTAGGGACTCTGGCAAAAACAAAACAAAACCCCACCCTCCAAACAATTGGGATAATCCAAAGAGATATTTTGATGATTACACCCAACAATTTTAGCTAGGCTTCAATGTTTCACATTGTTTTTTCTTTTATGCCGAATAGCAAAGTTTGAATAATGAAGACTTTGCTCAATGTAAGAAGATTTCCATCCATTTTTTTTCCAGGTAATCACGACCCAGATATATAATAAATGACCATATGGCCAGGATATAAATCTTCCTGTGTTTGAAAAGCAGAAATGTAGAGCATATATCCCATAATGTAGCTTTAGCATTCGCTATAAATAAAAAAAGACAGATGCCTGCCATTTCACTACATTTCCAAGGAAGGTTGGAAGCACGCTGGAAAAGAAGTGGAAACTCATGATGTGTCACCCAAAGATGCTTGAACACTGTCAAGATCTTTGCAGATTCAAACCTGGGGGCCTCAAAGTTAGATCTTCCCAACCCAGTGTCCTCTGGGTTGTAGATTTTAGAATCCTGATTACCAAGCTCCTCTCGTATTAAGAGAAAAGTAGGGTTTCGAAAGAAGAAAGTGTCAGAATCCAATTATATTTCATCTCTAGTGATCGACTATGGAAAACCCCATTTCCGCCCTCTCTGGAGTCTGTCATACTACGTAGAGGAAGGGGGATGAGCAAAGGGGTTTTATGGCCCTCACTTCCTTCATTACAATTTCAAAGGGACTGAATGTGGATTCTCACCAAGAGGACTGACCATAACAATATGGCCATCACCTTTCATCTACTCCTCTCTGAAGTCTCCCTTTGGCCGGCAATAAGGGAAAAGGGGGGGAACAATGCAGCACCGGGAGTCTGGGAAAGGAGAGGAGGAAGATCGTCACCCGGAAGAACTGTGGGGTGAGGGGGGGGCTGCTTGAAAACACTAAAAACATTGAAGGGTGGCGTGCAATCATTTTCTCTTAATAAAGATGCCTGTTGGAAAAGATATCCCAAGAGTTCTGTATTCTTAAGATGTAAAGTGAGGTGGGTCCTTACACAGCACCTCTAGGCTCAGGAGACTCAGCTCACATGAGCGGTGACCATTTGCCACCATTCTTTTTTTTTTTAAATTTTATTTATAATACAATTAAAAACAAACAAACATTGGATTTAACGTGACATCCCAGTATATACATTCTTATCAGATTATTCTCATTATTATTATTATTTATTATAAATGTGTGGGCCACTGAGCCTGAAACAGCCTGTCAGAATCCAATTATATTTCATTTCTAGTTATCGACTATGGAAAACCCCATTTCCGCCCTCTCTGGAGTCTGTCATACTACGAAGGGGGAGGGGGATGAGCAAAGGGGTTTTATGGCTCTCACTTCCTTCATTACAACTTCAAAGGGACTGAATGTGGATCTCACCAAGAGGACTGACCATAACAATATGGCCATCACCTTTCATCTACTACTCTCCCTTCTGCCGGCCATGAGGAAAAGGGGATGGAAATGTAATGCCTGGGATTGTCGCTGGAAGGACAGTGGGGTGGGGGCTGCTTGGGAACACTTAAAACCTTGAATGGTAGGGGATGGCCCCTCAGATCCTGTCTAGAATGCCTGCAACCATCTTCTTTTAATAAAGATGCCTGTTGGAAATATTCCAAGAGTTCTGTCTTCTTAAGATGCAAAGTGGGGTGGGTCCTTACAGAAACTTTTTAATCTTCCAGGAACTTCCAAAGAGATTTAGAAGCACCAGAAGGAAAGGATAAACAAGGAAAAAACACCCCCACCCCAGAAGAAAGGAAGGGATGAGACAATGAGAGAACACAAGTCAATGGATCAAGAAAGCAGGCGTACCTGAGGATAAATTGGTCCACCGTGATATTGTTGGTAACTGTCACCAAAGCAGTGACAACTTCTCCCTGTTTGATGGGCTTCAATGGCAGCTGAATGACAATGTTGCTGTCCAGCCACAATTCAGTCAGCTGAGAACTCTCTGGTGCCTGGTGGAGACTGATAGACCCAATGTGTTGTAAGTGGGACATCTTTTCTCCTGACCCTTCTTTTCCTGGACGGATCGCATTACCTTTCCGTAGGTCTTCAGTGGTACACTCCCCATTTTCACCCCCAGGGTGGATTGCATAATAAAGCTCTACTGAGATCCCATCAGACCGATCAGCCACTTTCTTATGGCCAGTGATAATTGTGGGTGGGTTAAACCAAGTTGGCTGAAGATCTAGACTTGCCACGCACAATCCCAGGTCTCCCTTCAGTCGACAGCTGCCCCGAACTCCCAAACTTTCCCAGAAGGCGAAAGCGTGCATGCAAGGTAGCTGTTCAGACATGCTGTAGTCATCCCAATCTCTCCCCACAATGTAGAAGAGAACTTGGACTTTGGGCCTGGTCAAGTAGACTTTTTCACTCATGATATAAGCTTTCAGCTTCCAGTTAAATGTAAACTTGTTGGTGGACCCAAATGCATTGGAGGTCAACAGCAGATCCTGAGGGACATCATGTTCCACCAGGAATGGTCCATAGCTAACGCTGACGATGGGCCTCTTCTTAGTTTTGTATGTAAAGAAGGTTTCCATACGAGATTGCAAACTTGAGTTTTTCATAAATTCATGGTTGGCTTCTCTAACAAAAAATGAGGACTCAGTACCAGAAATCTGATATTTTACAGGTAGATACGCTGATGAAGATGAAAATTTCTGGACATTGTCCAAGGCAACACGTCCCATGGCCACTATTATGGAATAAAGGGAGGGGGGAAACAGAATTAAACATTGAATTTGTTAGGTGCAAAATAGTAATAATTAAATCAGAGGTACATATTGATACAAAGTTAGACCCATCACACTGTCTTTTCACCTCAACAAGAGGTGTTGCTGTGAAGCACCTCATGAACATCAGAGCTACTTTCTCCAAGCTTGGTGCAAGACATTTACAAGCTTCTAGGAGAGATTCGTCCTGCCGTTTCAAGTGGTTTTATAAACACAGCCTCTTGTTTTGAGAACATTCCAAAGGGCAGAATTGAACAGAAGGAACTAGAACAGATAATCCATCACAGTGACTCTTAATATCCTGCTGGGGGAAGCCCTAACAACTAATGTATACATACATACCTGCAGTCTACTTTTTATCACTTGGGGTTCAGTTGGGTTCCATCTATTTATTTATTGAATTTAGAGTAGAATAGAGTAGAATAGAATAGAATAGAATAGAATAGAATAGAATAGAATAGAATAGAATAGAATAGAATAGAATAGAATAGAAAGACTGGACTGGACTGGATTAGACTAGACTAGACTAGACTAGACTAGAATAGAACAGGGATAGGATGGGATAGCATGGGATGGGATAGGATAGGATAGGATAGGATAGGATAGGATAGACTAAACTAGACTAGACTAGAATAGAATAGATAACAGAAAGAATAGAATAGAATACAGAAAGAATATAATAGACTAGACTAGACTAGAACAGAACAGAATAGAAGCTGGAAGGGACCTTGGAGGTCTTCTAGTCCAGCCCCCCGCTCAAGCAGCAGAACCTATACCTATTTATTTGTCACCGATCTCACCCAAGTTTGTGGAGCTTGGTTCAACTCTGCTGTGGATACCTATTTTAGCATCATCTATAAAGGTTCTCAGTTATCCAGGTCATGGTTGTCCCAAAGGTGCTTTTTTTCAGGAAGGAACTGGACTTTCTTGTGTTTCTTTGAAGATGTTTCACTTCTCATCCAGTCAGAGCTGAAGAAGCTTCTTGGATGAGAAGCGAAACGTCTTCAAAAGAAAAACAAGAAAAGTCCAGTTGCCTCCCCCCAAAAAAGCACCTTTGGGACTATTCTAGTATTGGAATTTTAGCCCGTGAAATACCAAGCACAAGTCAAATATGCATGCTGGCTGGGGAATTCTGGGAGTTGAAGTCCACATATCTTCAAGCGGCCAAGGTTGAGAAACCGTGGTCTAGGTTCCAAATGCTAAGTTTCTTACACTGACCCTCAACAAGATGGCAACTTCATTAACATTCTACCTAGGCAGTGCTTTGCAAACATGTCCAGGTCATCTGCCCTTCTGCGAGAACGAGAGTTAGTGGGATGCTACGAAGTGGAAAACTATAAGAAGTCATCCTTTTTCTTCCTTTTGTTCGCCCCCCCCCCAATGAGGCACGGAGAACGTGGAATGGAGAGCCATAACTTCCAAATGGTTATTTAAGGTGATGCATCTTCATATATAATTCATACAGAAGAACACGAGGGTAGGATTCATTTTCTTCCAAATGAGCAAAGTGCTATTAAAATCCCGAAAATGCAATTTATTAAAAAAAAACAAAATGTAATAACCGCACAAGACAAAAAAACATGGAGCAGGGGTAACAGCCTGCCAATGAAAAGAAAATCTAATTGACAAGTACATTATGGTGAGTCCCCATCTCTGTCCTCCTTTGTTCCATCTCCATTTCCATCTCAGTCACATCATAATCAAAAAGTGTCTCGGTACACATGTTCAGTAGAGAAACTGACTGAAAATAGAACTGTCTTTGCATTTGGGGGGCATCGTTCAGTGACACCACAAGTGTTTGGAAGCCAAGCGGTCTCGCAAACTGTTGAATAATAGCAACAGACTTCTATACCACTTTGTAGTGATTTACAGCCCTCTCTAAGCGGTTTACAGAGTCATCCTGTTGCCCCCGACCATCTGGGTCCTCCTTTTAGTGACCGCGGAAGGATGGAAGGCAGAGTCAACCTTGAGCTGGTCAAGATCAAACTGTTGGCAGTGGGCAGAGGGAAGGAAGGAAGGAGGGAGGGAGGGAATAAGGGGAAAAGGAAGAGCAATAGCCCTTAAACGTATATACCGCTTCACAATGCTTTACAGCCCTCTCTAAGCAGTTTACAGAGTCAGCATATTGTCCCCAACTGACATTTTACTGACCTCAGAAAGAAGGAAAGGTGAATAAACGTTGAGCTGGTCAGGATCAAACTCCTGGCAGTGGGCAGAGTTTGCCTGCAATACTGCATTCTAACCACTGCACCACCACAGCTCCTAAAAGGGTGGGATAAGCCTTTGTCTCGCCTCAAAACATTCCTCCTAAAGCAGCCACATTTTCTTATGACCTTCCCTCCCCCTTTGAGATGGGTCTGCAGTCAAAAATCAGCGTGCTGAGTTCGGACAAAGAAAGAGGCACAACGAACAGCAACATCCATTTATTTTAATTGAACTGACCGTGCCATGAATTGGAGAGAGTTAATGAGATTATCCCTTGTATCATTCCCCTTTAACCACACTGCCCATACCATCTGCTAATTAACATTTGAAAGGTTAATTCTCCAAGGGACATCTTGTGGAGGATAGATAGTCCTGAGGTCATAGATTCAATAGTCTAGAAATGGATGTTTTATTGAGCATGTGAAGAGTTGAACGCCAAACAATTATGCACCCGAAGACAAGCGAACTGATCTTAATTCCAGCCTGCCTCTCAACCAAGTCTTGCTCAGCATCTCATGAGCTTAATGTCTATGGAGTTTCTCAATCATCCAGGTCATGGTTATTCCAAAAGGCAACTGGACTTTCTTCCAGTTTCCATCAAAAGGTCCAACTGCCTTTTGGCAAAGCACCTTCAGGACATCTCAGGAGCTTTTGGACCACAAAACCAATAGTCTTTGGAATGAAATTAATTCTGCCACCACATTCTCCGCCAATATTAACATTTTTTTTTCACTTTGAGGCATTGATGTCTAGCAGGAACAACCAGATGTTGAGATTCTAGAAAGAGTACAGAGAAGAGCAATGAAGATGATTAGGGGACTGGAGGCTAAAACATATAAGGAACGGTTGCTGGAATTGGATATGTCTAGTTTAATGAAGAGAAGGACGAGGGGGGACATGACAGCAGCCTTCCAATATCTCAGGGGCTGCCATAAAGAAGAGGGAGTCAAGCTATTCTCCAAAGTGCCTGAAGGCAGGACAAGAAGCAACGGATGGAGACTCATCAAGGAGAGAAGCAACCTAGAACTAAGAAGAAACTTCCTGACCATTAGAACAATTAACCAGTGGAACAACCTGCCTCCAGAAGAGGTGAATGCTCCAGCACTGGAAGTTTTTAAGAAGAGACTGGACAGCCATTTGTCCGAAATGGTATAGGGCAGTGGTTCTCAACCTGTGGGTCGGGACCCCATTTGGGGTCGAACGACCATTTCACGGGGGTCGCCAAACAAGGCTGTCCGCCATTTTTTCCCCCTTTTCTTTGGCCACGCCCCTGGCACCCGGTGATTTATAAGTGGTTGGGGGTCACCACAACATGGGGAACTGTATTATGGGGTCGCAGCATTAGAAAAGTTGAGAACCACTGTCATAGGGTTTCCTGCCTGAGCAGGGTGTTGGACTAGATGACCTCCAAAGTCCCTTCCAACTTTATTATTATTATTATTTATCTCAAAGAAATATCCGTGCATTTGGATATCTTATCCTCAAAATTCCCCTGTTGAAAAGAGTCATCAGACTGGAGCTGCAGAACTGTGGGAGAAGATCCCATTTTGCATTGGGTAAGGTCCTGCCTAGTCTGGGATGAAATCCAAAAGAGGAGCACCAGGGGAGAATTCAAACTTGGAAGAAAGCTGTCAAGCTTCTGAACTCTTTTCAAAACATCTGTTACTTCCACTAAGATCAGTCAACCCATCAAATTGGCCTCCAAAGATAAGAGATCATTTTATATTTTAAAGATCATCTCGACTGACTTTTGTGGCCGACCTCCACTGAGAGGCATCTATAAGGTTGCCGACAGAGATACCCTGATTTTTATCACAAGCATCCCTCCAGCTCCACTCATATTGTTTCTAAGAATTAGCTGGGAGGCAGAGAAACAGACAGGTCTGCAAGATCAAAGGGCATGTCAAGTATTTGGAATATGAAGAAGGGAGTGGGGGGAAGCCCAGAAACTCTATGGAACAGATAAATCAAACTGACTGTTTGTCACAGACAGACATTAAATCAATTTGTGCCATTCACTCTCTGAAGAATCCATTTTGCTTTCTGTCCAGTGCATTTTCCTTGCTGAAGAACGTGCAGGGGTGGCCATCCTATTCTTAGATCTTTATTTTTATCCCATTTGCTTGATTTCCACCTCACCTTTCCTAGTAAATCAGGGAGGAGGAGAGGAAGAAGGAGAAGGAGAAGGAGGAGGAGAAGAGGCAGAAGGAGGAGAAGAAGAAGAAGAAGAAGAAGAAGAAGAAGAAGAAGAAGAAGAAGAAGAAGAAGAAGAAGAAGAAGAAGAAAAGAAGGAGGAGAAGGAGAAGGAGAAGAAGAAGAAGAAGAGGAGGAGGAGGAGGAGGAGGAGGAGGAGGAGAAAGAGGAGGAATGGTCCAGTATAATTAAAATCCTATATATTATGCAAATCAGCTAGCACCAAGGTGCTAACCGTGCATCAGAGGAAGAGTTCAAAACTCCAACTTCCTTGCACGTGAACTGATCCATACTTTACATGACAAATCAATCAGCTGGATCGACTGCCAGGAGGTGATGGATGCACTTCTGAAGGAAATGCCATAAGCAGGTTGCTACTCCTTGGACATTGTCCACAGCTGCCTTTTGTTGGGAAACTCTCAACTGACCAAGGAGAAGGAATCAAGCAGGGCATTAGCCTCGAGTCTTTGTGCAGTTGCAAAGGGCCTGATCCCTGCCCAGGTTTCATGGAACCTTCTCTGTTTATTCCCAAAGGAGGAAGGAGAGCAGCTTGAAGAGGTCCTTG